GCTGGTTATCCACCCAAACGGAAAAACTTTAAAACACCACCATGTAGATCAAAGTACTTGAACCCCAAAGAACCCTTTGGGAATCGTTGGAGCCAAGACTGTGAGAAGTCCTTTCAAACTATTATTGAAAAACTTACCACTTCGCCAGTTCTTGGCTACGCTGACGCAAAACTCCCATATCTAGTACACACAGATGCTAGTACGACCGGACTCGGTGCAGCGCTATACCAAGTGCAAAACGGTGTCACACAGGTAATCGCTTATGCAAGTCGCGGTTTAAGCTCTAGTGAAACTAGGTACCCTGCGCACAAGTTGGAGTTTCTAGCCTTAAAGTGGGCCATAACAGATAAGTTTCATGACTATTTGTATGGGAACACATTCACTGTCATTACTGATAATAATCCGTTAACTTACCTCTTAACAACGGCAAAACTCGATGCAACGAGCTATCGTTGGCTAGCTGCGTTGTCCACCTATAATTTTGACATCAGATACCGTGCAGGTACACAGAACGTTGACGCGGATGGCCTGTCTAGGAGGCTGCATGATAAACCTGAAGACAACTCAAAATTCACTGAGGAATGCCAACGACTAGATGAGTTCCGATCTCATCTTTTATCCTCTGTCAAAGAAGTCGAGCTTCAACTTCAAGCCGAAGCAGTGAAGGCAACATGCCAAAAGCACATGGTCTTGGATGAGACTGATTCTCCTTGTGGTTTAGTTCAGTCACTTGCCATGTCTGCAGCGGCCATTCCAGACCTATTCCAGTTGGAAGACAATAGTGACAGTTTCTTTGCTGTGCCCAAGTATAACCATGCTGACCTTGTCTCCTTGCAGAGGAAAGATCCAACCATTGGCCGAGTCATTCAGCTGCTTATGACTGACAATAAACCGCCAACTGATACTATTGCAGAACCCCCGGTGGTTCTTAACCTTTTGAGAGAGTGGAAACGGTTTGAGTTTCAAAATGATTTACTGTACCGGAGACGCCAATTAGGACCAGAGACATCATTGCAGTTAGTCTTGCCTGATTCATTACGTTCAACAGTCATGCAAAGCCTACATGATGATATGGGGCATCTTGGGGTTGAACGTACGACAGATCTCATTCGGTCCCGTTTTTACTGGCCAAGAATGGCTAGTGATATCGAAATCAAAGTTAAAACTTGCGAAAGATGTATCCGTCGGAAGGCCCTCCCTGACAAAGCTGCTCCAATGGTGAGTATTACCACCACCAGACCTATGGAGTTAGTTTGCATGGATTTTCTCTCCATAGAACCAGACAGTAAGAACACTAAAGATGTCTTAGTGATTACAGACCATTTTACAAAGTATGCAGTGTCCATCCCAACCAAAGATCAGAAAGCCACCACCGTCGCGAAGAACCTGTGGGAACATTTTTTAGTCCACTACGGGTTTCCTGAGCGTCTTCATAGTGATCAGGGACGGGATTTCGAATCACGTACAATCAAGGAACTTTGTTCTTTACTTGGTATCCGTAAAGTCAGAACGAGCCCTTATCACCCTCGTGGCAACCCCGTTGAACGGTACAATCGTACATTACTCAGCATGTTGGGAACTTCACAAGCCACTGAGAAACATCACTGGCGCGATTTTGTAAAACCACTTACTCACTCGTACAATTGTACAAAAAATGACGTGACGGGATACTCTCCCTACGAGCTAATGTTCGGTAGGCAGCCTCGGTTGCCTATAGATATTGCCTTTGGGTTACCGCATTTGAACAAGCCCTCTATAACTCATTCTCAGTATGTTAAAGAACTGAAGAGTCATCTGGAACAGAGTTATGACATTGTCATAAAAAACTCTCAAAAAACAGCGAGGAAGAACAAAGAACGGTTCGACAGAAACATTCGTGAGTCCACACTAGGTGTGGGAGATCGTGTTTTAGTCCGAAATCTTCGCTTAAGAGAAAAGCATAAATTAGCAGACAAATGGGAGCAAACAGTGTATATAGTTCTCAAACAGATGGAAAACTTGCCAGTATACACTGTAAAACCAGAGAACGGAGAAGGACCCAACAGAACACTCCACAGAGATCTTTTACTGCCTTGTGGTTTTCTCTCTTCATTAGAAAATGAAACAGAACGCGTTACGAAACCTAGCAGACCTCATACAAGACAGAGTTCAGCCTTAGAACCTGACCCAGATGAGCCACTTGACGAAGAGGTAGATGAGTTTTATTACTCTGATCTTCCACAAGTGCTAAACCGACCATCCTATCAAATAGCGGTCACCTTGCCAAATAGGGAACTCATAGCAGATTCAGGACCGGTAAATAATATTCAACAACAAAACACACTATCCTTACACACAGGGGATCGCAAGGAACCAACCTTAGCTGGTAATGAAAATGCTGAATTGTCCTTACTTGACAAAGGCATCAACACCGAAACATTCTTACCTGACAGAATGAGTGAAACTGCGACATTCTTACCTGAAAGAGTGAAAGAAGCAGCAACATACTTACCTGAAAAAACGAAAAAAAACGAAGTATACTTACCTGACGTAGAAACGGGGGATGAAACTAACACAAACCTACCTCAATTGGATGGTGTCCTAAAGTCGCAGCAACGTGATGTAAGTTTTGAACCCATCATACACGATCAGACACATACATCTGAAAAGACCAAAGTCTTAGAGAATAGCTCATCAGCTCTGTCGGAAACAGAGAGCTCACTTCGTCCTGTCTCAGTTGAGAATCAAACCGAAACGGATGAGCATGATACTGTGCAACCAGAGATGTATGTCAGGAGATCTGAACGAAGTAGTCAGCCTCCTCAAAGACTAACTTACTCTCAATTGGGCAATCCACTAGTGACCGTAGTTAGGTCCCTTTTCCAAGGACTTAATAAAGCTTTTATTTTCTCTCTTACTCAAGAAGTTGTGTACCCCGTAGAAACAATGCACAGGGACGTGCATGATATTTAATGGGGGAGGATGTAACCCAGAAGCTAGAACCTTAATGAGGTATTAACTAATTGGCTTACTAATATGATCCATCCTCAATTTAGATAAAATATAAAATATAAATTAAGGAAATTAACAATACTAATTAATAGATATCTAATTAACTAATAGATAATTTCATAATGAATTATTGGAAGGGTGAATAACTAAAATAACGAGTTTAATATTAAACATCGGTTAAAACAAGAATCTTGAACATCACTAACAGAAACAGAAGAGGAAAGCTGTATACTATTGGTCCAGGTGGGAATCTGAAATTTCATTGGCTGAGAGAAATAAGTCCCGCCTCCGCGAAATAAAACCGTGCGACGCAGCTGAGCGAGAGGAGAGACAAACGGCTGTGCAGCACGCAGATACAGAAAGCAAAGACTGAGCGGTTAGAGAGAGAGAGAGAGAAAAAAAAAACAACGGTCGAGGCCGTGAAGAACCCTGATTTGGGTGCCGCATAGATAGAGGGAGAGGCGGACTTGACTCCTTCTAATAAGAGCTAGGAACTTGGAACCAACGCGGTGAGTAAAGAAAAAAGAAGAGAAAAAGCTAACGATGCAACTTAAAAAAAAAAGGGAAACTTAAATAGCTTATCAAATTAATTCCATTCTTATAGATTTGTGTGGAGACGACAGAGTGAACCAATCCTCTGTAGGAGGGAACCGTTGGAGCGCGTTGGTGAGTGAATGAGATTAAATTCAGTAAATTATTAAATTCAAAAAGCTAATTACAGCAACCGAGGTGACAGCAGTGGGCTGCTAGACGTTAGATCCCAGGAGTTAACATCTCAAACTACCAGTTAACGGTGGTAGGGCATATAGGAGTTAACGGCTCAAACCGCCAGTTAACGGCGGTACGGCATATGGGATTCCCAGGAGTTAACGGCTCAAACCGCCAGTTAACGGTGGTACGGCCTAGATGTACAAGGTCCTCAGGGGCGTTATAGCTAACGCCATAGAATTAGCAATGCGTCCCTTAACCAAACATTTAATAATAAAAAAAATAGATAAATAAAAATAAATAAAAGCTAACTGATTAGGGAGGAATTATTTTACAAAGGTGGACCAAAGGACCAGAATTTATATTTTGTTGAATTTTGTTATAGAACATTTTATTTATTTATTTATTTATTTATTGTGTTACAGATATACAAGGTGTCACAATGCTGTATAGAAACACAACTAAATGTATCCTTGTTGTCATGAATGTATTTCTTGTTGAATAGTGTAGAGTAATAGAATCTAACTGAGCCTATTGAGCTGAACAATTGTTGTCATATGTAATTATATTTCCAGAGCTACTGAGAATTATTTTAATAGACAATCAAATTGATGTTATGTTAGTTGAACTGTGAACCCAAACATGATTGGCTATGCCAATAGAGTGAAGCATTTGTTTAAGTCTGTAAGACTTTATGCTGTGATGTGACGAGAAGGGTCGATGCCAACTCGCTAACAGTCCTGTTGTTTACAGGCTGGGTTTTTTTTTTTTTCCTTGGGTTTGATCCCGACTCCTATGATCACTCACTTGGAACGAGAACTGGATTTCTTCCTGACGAGGGAGATGGCGAGCCTTAACCACTGAACGAACCAGGACATCTCAAGTAACTGAAGAGCAGACTGCTCTCTTCTGTGAACAATCTCAACGGTGTGGTAGGAAAAAATCGCACCACCGGACTCTGACTTTCACCCCAAGCGTGGGGATTTGACTTGACGCCGGCTGACTTGTGACTCATATGATCAAATCTCATACCGAGCATTTTACTATTGTCGATTGTTTTCATCTGTTTTTGTGTGTTATCTTTATGTGTTATATTTCCCATTATTATTAAAATTTAGTATATAAACCGTTTCATGCTATACCCGTGACTCCAGTCATTCTTAAACAACCTCCAATTCTCCCCGAACCTAATTATTGGCCCATTTGTTTATTTTTTCTTTTAATTATCTTATTGTATCCTGTAATCCGGTTACAGTATGTTATCTCACTGGTAGAATTTAAGTAATGCAAGAGACACTTACATCACATGTCTTAAAGAATTCTGGGTCTTCCTCCCGCAGGTATACTGGAAGGGCACGTAGCACTGCAGTCCGTTTCACATCGACATCAGGTGCTTCCTATAAAGGGAAAAGAAAATAAGAGTTAATTTAACACTAAGTTTACAGGTGTCATTGCCTGGGAATAATACATGTTTATGACACATTAGGCTCTGCATAATTTTGGAGACATTTATTTTGAGACACAACCTGTCTCTCATGACAAAGAGCTTGTTTCTTACTCATTTGACAAAAATCCTAAACATTTTTTTTCAGGGTTATCTAGACTAACACTTTTGTTTTTGCTCCCATTTTTTAGGCCTGTTGGATATACTGCCAAGTTCTCTGAAACGCCTTTAAAGACGGCTTATGGTAGAGAGATGAACATTCCTTTCATGGGCAACAGCTCTGGTAGACATTCCTGCAGTCAGCATGCCAATTGCACGCTCCCTCAAAGGTTGCAACATCTGTGGCATTGTGCTGTTTGATCAAACTGCACATTTTAGGGTGGCCTTTTATTGTGGGCAGTCTAAGGCACACCTGTACATTATTCATGCTGTCTAATCAGCCCCCTGATATACCACACCTGTGAGGTGGGATGGTTTATCTTGGTAAAGGATAAGTGCTCACTAACACACATGTAGACAGATTTCAGAACAGTATTTGAAAGTCATGGGTGTTTTGTGAATGTGGACAAAGTTTCAGATGTTTGAGTTCAGCTCATGAATAATGGGAGCAAAAACAAAAGTGTTGCATTTATATTTGTCTTTGGTGTATATAGAAAACAGATGTTCCCAGCAATTAACAGTAGCCCATAGGCAGTCTAAAAACAAGCAAAATTGAGTGATTAACATAGAAACTTTTTACATTTGTGGTAGCAATTATATCTTTATCAATATTCACCTGATGATCATAATGATTCAGAATGTTTCGCAGAGCCTCCGATATCTTGCCAGTGCATGTGGCCTTCTGTCTGTATAGAGCCATAAGTCGTGGTGTGTGTCTGTCAAGTTCAGCATAGAACTGTTTCTGCAGGTTGATGTTTGTGACTCGGTGGAACTCCGCACAAACCTAAAAATACAGGAACATGAAAACATCCAATATAAAGCAAAATTACTGGCCAAATTGAGAAATCTTATATTTAAAGAGGGATTTCCAAATTTGTGCCCAGTTTTATCTTAATGCTGTCATTTTAACATTTGTTTTTCAATTTGAACTTAACCTTTCCAACACAACTGTATCACAAATCTGAAATAAATTTTTTGGCATCATGAGCCTAATGAATGTAAGAAAACTTCTCTTTAATTCAAGAGAACATCAGTTCCTACATTATAGACTCAGCAAGTTTTATCTGTGGTTGCCTGTCTACTTAAAGCCGGGCGTACACTGTGCGACTTTTTCACTTTTTTGAGCTGATTTTCCACTCGTGCGACAATCCACAAGATCGGGGTGAGTTTTGCGCCGAGTGTCGTGTAGTATACAGGGGGTTACAAGAGGCAATTAACACCACATGACCAGCTATCGAGAGCTCGCACAAACTTCTGGCGTGTTTAATATTTTGCTCGTCCCTCGTGAGGGTATCGCACTTTTGAAGCGGCGCTGCGAGCAGCTGCGACGCAAAAAGTATCAGAACCGCTCACGACGCATACGCAATCCTGCATCAACACCGCTCGCCCGCTATTTCCCTAATAACACACTTTGTTCATTTTAATTTCTACACGTTTTTTACTCACAAAGATTGTCAAGAAAGAGTGTTTGTCGTGTTCATGTCAAATTAAACTGATCACAAAACACAGATTTACTTTCTTTATTTCATTTTACTCATCCAGCCCCCATAAATCCCTGTGTGTCCTGCAGCACTCCCGAAGGACAACAGGCAAAACAAGACAAAAAAGTCTCACATGTTGAGTAAAAACTGCTATTTTTAGCATATTTTAGGGCCGACGTGTTGCTACCAGGCGTGCAGTGTGAGCAGTCAGGTCGCATCCAAGAACTGGGTCGTGCAGTGTGAGCACATGACTCGTGAGATCTGCCCTGCGAGGAAGTCGTACAGTTTGAGCTGAAGCTGAGTGCTACGAGTGAAAAAGTGGCACAGTGTACGCCCGGCTTAACTCATTCACTGTCATTGATGACTAAAGTCGTCATTTTAGATCCCACCGTTCACTGCCAATGAAGACTTAAGTCGCCATTTGAATGTTTTTACTGTGTGGGCATTGGAATGAGCCCCCGCATCGTGACTGAAGCTCTCACCTCTAAAGCCGATCTTCATCCGCATATATCACACATGACGTGATCAGGAAGTAGAAAATCCATGTGTTAGATCGTTTTGGGTGGCTGCTGTAAAAAAACAGTGAGGTGCGAACCGGAAAAGCTTCTGCCGATCACAATTCAACAACGGATTATGAAAGAACGGATAATGCTCGAAATGCGCAGATTCTTCATGATTTAAGGTGAGTCTCCACTTTGTTTTGGTTGTTTTGGCGTCAACATCCTAGCACACAACGTTCTGTGACTCTTAAAAAAACTATAAAATTGGTGAGAAACACTGGCAGCGAAAGGGATTTACCGATCAGGAAACGGCTGGCAGCGAATGAGTTAATGTTGAAGCACCACAACTAATAGGGTGCTTAGTTGTAGCGCTTTAAGATATTTTTTCTACCTATTTGAACAATGTTTATAAGAAGTACTTTGTTTAACATGTTAAATAAATAAATCTGAATCTGAAGATCTGCTGAACTTGCATTGTTTCAAGTTAAATTGAATAAGAAAAAAAAATCAGTGCAACACCAACCTGTGAGTGAAATCGCAGAGCTGGCCATTTCTCTAAGAAGTCCTTCACCATTGGGTTTTCTTGAACGATCTCATGGCGACGCAGTGCAAAGGTTGTTTGCATCAGTTTTTCAATCATTACTTTGTTGGGCTCGGTCTTCTCAACCTCATTTTTTATCTGGACTCTCAATTCCTCCAGACTGGCCTTATCTTCTCCTCTTGGAAAGTTTGGGAGGTAGTTTACCTCAGCTTTTCGTGCTCTTTTTATGTTGGAGTGGGGATACTCTCCTTCTGGGTTGTTGATACTCCTTCTACCAGCATTCACGGACACCTCCGCGCATCCGGCTCTGGCTAGCTTGGTGCGGTAATTTCCCATCTTAAATTTTAAACTGGTCTTCCAACCATAACTTCCAGGCTCATTAAGACATGGATGAGTGGTAACAAGAGCTTTTGCTGCCAAACACACATCTCTGTCACTCGGATAGGCTTTGAAGGTGTGCATCACTGAAGCCATGGTCTCCAAGATGTTGTGCTTTTGGGCTCGTGTCAATTTCAGTTGCTTTCCAGACATCTCGTAGGCTTTATTTCCCTTCTCAAGGACATGTTCGACTTCGTAAGAAAAGGTAGGTACTGGGAAAGTGTCAGGCCAACACTTCAGACGCTGAGCTAAAGGCACATGAGGAAGGATGTCTGTGTCAGAACTTGCACAAGAACTGGCATCACTTTCGGATCGCACTATTTTTAATGTGCTCTTCTCTAGTAGCTCTTGAATATCATGTAGACAGGTAAGTTGCCCATCAAAGTCAGGGTCTTCGTATTGTAAGGTAAACTCAAAGTCCAGCCTTGGGTTGAGCTTCTCCCGGAGTATGGTGATTAGTTCTTCCACTGACTCAGGCCGCTTAGTTAGAGAAACCTTCACAACAACATCTGTAGTGCTGTAAACTCTCAGCAGGAATTTCTGAGATGCTGCCATCATCCTGTGTATAAAGCAAGGAATGGAGATGATTAAAAAATACTACAATGGTCTCAACACATATAAAAACAATGAACATCATACCATTAACCTTTTTTTATGAGTCATTTTATGGCAGAGTGGTACTCAGAATTGGCATCTGAGTACCAAGCAATAGCCCAAAAGATTTACTGTCACAAGTGGAGCAGTACCTCTTGTGGTAATGCATACACATAGCCTTTACAAGGTCTGATAATTGTATACTCAGCAATCATTACAGCTGTCAAAAATGGGGGGTCAAATATACTATAGTCTTGTTTTCCAATTTTAATTTAAAAAGTACACTGTAAATTTCATAACAAAATAAACTTACTATTTTTGCTGGTTACTTTGGGTGCATTCTAGCATTTTATGGCCAATCTTTCAACAGTCCAGAACAAAGGTAAGTATTTTACATGTTACATAGTCACAGGCATAGGCGTCAGTTTAACCGGGGACACCGGGGACATGTCCCCGGCAAAATTTGTAATTGGCAGCTGTGTCCCCCCCACTTTCAAAAAAGCCTGCTGATGAGGATTTTTGTTTTACCAGCTCAGATCTTATACCAGGGGTCGGCAACCTGTTCCCATCAAAGAGCCATTATTACCCATTTCCCACAGTAAAGAAAACACCGCAGCAGTCGCATCGTTGTGGGCAGGGCCTACCCTCAGACAGCAGAGAGCTGCTCACAACCAGGTGACAGCAGCCGGTACCATGGGCGTCGCACCCGTGGGGGATTCAACACCCACACTTTTCCAGCTGTTTTGCTCACCTCCACACCAGTCTGGTTTCTTTATGTCACACTCACTCTGTTTGCCTCATCTCCTTCTTCACCTCCGCTTCTGACAGCCGATGTCGGGTTTCCAGGAGAGCAGGAGAGGGAGGGACGGAAGAGCTCGACTGAATAATTTTACATCTTGACATTAGCTGTACAAAGTCTGAGTTTGATAAAGTGAAGAACAACAATTTGCAGAGGTTTATAACTGGCGCGGTGCCAGGTTTTCATTTTTGGGTGGGCCACGGTAATTCTGGACCTTAATAAGCAGTGACTTAGTGAAGCAGGCAGGTCGCGCTAGGAAATTTAGTTTAAAAAGACGTCATAAATGTGTTCCCCCGTCCTTTTTATTTATAAAATATGAAGTAAAAACTCCCAATTTAATTTTCATTCATTTGTCATTAATATTTAGTCTACACCCGTGCGTTAAGTGGACCAACTTTCAGTAAACGCAAAGCATCCAGCCCATCTCTCCAAATGCGTAAAATGTGCATCAGCCGTTAGGCGTGCCGCGCGCACCATCAGCTACGCTAGCCCAGACAAGAGCAGAGCAAATAGAGAAAGAATAGAGGATAATTGTGTCTGGATGTGGATGGAGATTACATTTTACAGCAGCCTAATCATCATTTAAATACGTAAACCATCACCCGTCTTCTAGTCCATGCTATCAGCATTGTTTTAATTGGTGTGTGTGTGTGTGTGTGTGTGTTCCACTTCAAACACTGGTCTAACCAACCAGACCTGCGTGTCCAGTAACATATTAATGTTACAATTAAACAGTTTCACTTCATGTAGGCTAGGAACGTTTCACCTGCCGTGGCCCGACCGCTTCTGCTCCACATGAACTTTGTGCGTGATCAAATGTCTCTACAGGAGCTTTCTGAGCTGAAGAGGCGACTGGATGCGTCATGCGTCTCCATATTGGAGACAGGAACAAGCGCTGTTCAGCCAAACTTTCATAATTTCATAAAAATAACATTTTCCAAGTGACACATCCCTCAGAGAGACCGGGTTTCCTCTTCAGTGGGAGGAAATCAACGAACATCCTTGAGTTTATCCGTCAAAATAAAAGTCAAATGGAAATATCTGTAACCTGTCATTTAACTGTTTTGCCTTCCTGTGAAGATTGTTGCAAAGAGAAACAACTAAACTTGATTAACCCCAGAGCCATGCGCACTGCGCTGTATGTCATGACTGTAAATGAGGGGGAAACGATTTAATGGGATCCTTTTCTTTTCAACATGGTTTAATGTAAAGTTTCATTCAGTACAAACTTTAGTTACACCAATCTAACGAGACAGAGCCTGGATTTGTATTCTGAACAGTTTAAACATGTTTAAAGCGGAGACATGCGTGACGCATCTAAAATTCGCACCTGCTCCGCTATTATGGAAATTAAAATAACAAGATGAATAGCATGAACTTATTTTAGGCACAGACAACATCCCCCACACTTTTGAAAAGTTTGCAACGCGCCTGGTCGCTCGTGTACGTCAAAGTTATCTTTCGTAAGACGATAATGAATAAAACGATTTATATAAAGTGGATCCAGAAGTTGTAGCCCGTCTCTGCCTACAATATTTAGATATTTTTCACCCTGTTGGTGGTTTTACTGAGCAGGTGCCACTTTTGTCAAGCGATTCTTTTTAAAACATGTTTAGACTGTTCAGAATACAAATCCAGGCTCTCAGAACCAGAGCGCATGCGGGAAAGTTCCTCCCACTGAAGCGAGTGTTTTCCAAACCCGGTCACTCAGAGACTTGTCACTTAGAAAATGTTCCCTGATTATGAAACTTTGGCTGAATAGTGCTTGTTCCTGTCTCCAATGTGGCGACACATCCAGGAGCCGTCTGAGGAGAAGCCCAGAATCTGACATCCTCCAGCTCAGGAAGCGCATATGATTACGCACAAGCGTGATGCGTCAACCCGGTCTCACAGTCAGACCGGGTTGGACCTGTTCAGGTTTACGCAGACAATCTTTACATTTAGAATTGGCATACAGATGTAAAATTAATGCAGTAAAATATAAAGCATTTTATTTAAATATCCATTCATTATTTTAAAAGTACAGAGAGCCGCATCAGATGGATGGAGGAGCCGCTTGCGGCTCCAGATCCGCGGATTGCCGACCCCTGTGCTAGTCTACTTTATTGTCCCCAGCAATTTTTAAACCCCACTCAAGTGTATGGTTATTGTCCCCAGCAATTCTGAAAACAAACTGACGCCCTTGGTCACAGGCCATCATTTCATTTAGTCACGGTAAAAACTAACCCTATTTCAACATCATAATCTACATTTTCTCACCAGGCATACAAACAATACATAAGAATTTACACAGCAATTATTTTACAAAACAGAGACAAACTGCAGGAGAAATATTTGGAAAAACACATCATGTGATATTAAATCAGTGAGATACATCTAAAAGGAAACAGAACTTCTAGTAGCAAACTACTTTTTACAGACTACTGTCTAATGTTGCTCTCTTAACCCCCCCACCACCACCACCACGCACACACACATAGCATCTGCATTTTGAAACTTTGGGGTGGAACAAATCTTAAAATATATGTAAATCACATAATGCAAATTCACTTTCAGTGTAGAAGTATAAAACGTTTTGGTGTCAAAAGAAGTTTCCCTTCCACGTAGTATGCAGAAAGGGGTAAGCGGTCATTAAACTCTGACATGCAGTGGATAGCCATACAACTTGGGTAGAGTTCATATGACCTCATATGTTCAGTGTAGTTTGACCTGTGTTCTTTGCAAAGAAATGCAGCATCATTGTTAACAAGGAGGATTTTTTTGATCTCGCTAAACTGTGGCAGTCCCCCATCCTCCCCCACAGACACAAACATTCCAGGGCTGTAAGTTGTGACATCAACAATGATCTTTGATGTGCTGTAAATAATTCTGCTGTCAGTTTTATCCTTTATGTATTCTTGTGCAACTTCAGGAAGATCTGAAACCATGACAGAAGTAACGTGTGTCGTCTGCTGATGCGGCTGAAAAAATGAAGGTGCACTGAGGTAGTAGGCCACCATGTGTTGGTGCCGTGTTGCTAATGTTTTTAACACATTCTTAAAGTTTTGTGTGTCATGTATTACCCTCTTGAAAAAGCGATGCTTACCCTCGAACCTCATTGTCCATAAGTGAACAAGTGGCCCAAAAGCACGTATAAGAGCTGGGTAGTGCTCTATATAATGATGTTTTGGAAGCAGTCTTAACTCAGGAAACATGTCCTGCAGCACTTTTCTGTGGTCATCTATCTTTGATTGCAAATACTGTATGGACTCTTCATCAAATCTTGGGCACAGCATAAGCTCAACAACCTCTTTCAAATCCATTAACACTGTCCAAGCAGCATCTTCCTCAGGGACTACATTACCGTTCATGAATGGCAGTACTCTCAGCAATGTGATATTCTCATGACCATTGCCACCAATGGTCCTCCTTGTAGAGAAGTTCTTTGAGATGGGCTTTGGTTTGTCAACTTTATCGGAGTGTTGGTAAGGAAAGGACAAGATTTTTCTATTCAACTGCTCCAGAGTAAAGTATTTCTGCCGGATCATCTCCTGAATACACACGGCCAACTCCACTGGTACAATTCCCTCAAAAAGGTCATGGAGGACATCAGGAGGGAAGCCTGTGGTTGTATGAAAATACTGCAAACTTTCAGTCAGGATGCAGTTCCGTTGCACACCTGCCTGACTATGACCATCCCCATGTAGAACTTCCTGCACATTTTGGTCATAACTGGCTTTTGTTCTGAGGCTAAACTTGCCATCTCCAACATCATGAGACTGAATTAGGTCTCGTGTTGCATTGCAAAACCTACAAATAAATCCAGTTCTGAAACACTGACTAAACCCAGCCAATGAGTGGGCTGCCAGGTTGTCAGCTACAACGCACATGATAGTCCCTTTAACAGATTTACCGAGGCACTCAATAAATACACCATCTTGCTCAAGAGTTTTTAGATCTTGTAGCAAAGGACCAAATGCTTTTTCATAGCCACACCTGTGGAGATCAGGTACCTTACATAATGCTGCTAGCTGAATGACATGCAGACCTGAACGATATTTACTTGGCAAATCAGCAAACATCCAGCATACTGCACACAGTTTGTGTATTTTCCTTGAAGTGCCCAATGGATTGGCAATTTCAAGGTCATCAATGTACAGTATCAGTGGCAGTGAAAGCTCTGATGAAGAAAACAACTCATTTCCTTGGAAATATGACCCATCTCTGTGGCTTGTGTAAAGACCCTCATAAGAGATATGTGTTTCCATAATTCTCTTAAGAATGTCTGTATGTTGGAACATTTTTTGGATCATCTCAAATATAGGGACATGAATTGCTGTACAACCAGGCTCCAATACATACTGAACAGGCATTACCACAGGGTAGTTCTTTTCAATAAACGTTTTTCTATGTTTATTTGAACAAAAGTCCTCCCCTTTAGCTGTGGCACAAGCAAAAATATTTGCATTATTTACAGCATTCAGCAAATCATTAAGGATAGCCTTGGAAGGAGTAACCTGATGCCTTTGTAATACATCATGCAGAGTCTTTTTAATGAGAGGCTTTGACAATGAAATGATTTGTGCCAGAGTATCAACTATTTCCTGAGATGCCATTTGAGAAACATGAAGAATACTTTCCATCTTCAGGAACAATGAAGACAAGTTCTTGTGTAATTGCTCTCTTAACTGCCTGGTATCACAAACACTGTCTACCTCAGGAAAAGCCAAGTCATCCAAATGCTCATCATTAACATCCTCAATGGCAAAGTCACTAGTGCTTTCCACTGGCCTGCTGTTTTCGTTTGACACAAGGACATCACAAATATGGGGTGCCATTTGTAAAGTCAAACAGTCATAATCTAACAGCAATATTTTTGGTTATTTAACATATCATTAATTCACTAACTAAATATTTAATTTACTAATTAAATATTTATTTTGGAACTAAATATTTAATTTGTAAATTAAATATTTATTTTCCGAAATAAATATTTAGATCCCAGCTAAATATTTATTTTGGAGCTAAACATTTAGTTTGCAAAATCAGTATTTGGGAAATAAATATTTAAGTCTGACCCAAAAATATAAACTATAGTGTGGAGCTAAATAACATCATGGAAAATAAATATTTAGCTGGGATCTAAATATTTCTTTGGAAAATATTTAATTTACAAATTAAATATTTAATTTAAATTTTAAATATTTATTTCCAAAATAAATATTTAATTAGTAAATTAAATATTTAGTTAGTGAATTAAATATTTATTTTACAAACTAAGTATTTAGATCAGACCTAAATATTTAGTTTGCAACATAAATATTTAACTATAAATTAAATATTTAGCGTGCTAACTAAATATTTATTTGGAAACTTTAACATTTATAAATGTATGAATAACATGGTGAAAATATGACTTTGAAAAAGTGAACTCTCAATTTTTTCTCTTATGATATGCTAAATAACCAAAAATATTGCTGTTAGATTATGACTGTTTGACTTTACAAATGGCACCCCATAGGAAAACACTATAGTTTGAAATGAAGTAAGAATGTAAAAACAAAAATAACATTTCTTCCCGCTTTGCTGATTTATTGAATCCTTCTTGTGGGTTTTTTGCTCATGAAAGTTAAGTTATGCTTCACTAGTGACTAACTGCAGTAAATGATGCTTTGCTGCAATTATTGTTAACAATATTAAAGTTAGACGTAATTACCACTTTTATCTGAAGAAGCGCGTCTTTATCCCCGCTCCAGCTGCTGAGATCAAAGTTGACAGAAACGGGGATCCGTGCCTGCAACCCGAGCAATTAATCCGCGTATTTCCAGCAGAACACGTTTGCCGAAAGATTTGTGCGATAATCACACTTTCATTTTCCTCATACTCGACTCACGTGACCAGGCGCAAATGTCACGTAACCAACGCAATTGCGTCATGAATATGCAAATTAGAACGTTGCGACCTCTAGTAACCTCTGAGCAAGCGTCAGCAAGGCAGATCAGAACGCTTCATAGAAGCACGTGATCATAAGCTTTGATACGTCATACAGAGAACATCATTTCTTACTACAAGTCATTGTTGGTCAGAGCACTCGACGCGATTTTAAAATGCAATACGATATAGAAGAATACAACTGGGAGTTGAAAAACAAAATAAGCCAAACTGAGAGAGAAATTCAGAAAGTGAAAGATGAAATTTCAGCATTTAGAGAAAAATCTGCTTTTGAGTATAAAATACGAGAAGCCAAACATGCAGAAAATATGCAACAGAGAGGCTTGAAACATGATGCAGAAATGAAAATCCTCCATCAAAAGATTTCTACTCTAAATAAACTCGTTTTAGAGAATGACAGTCGAATAGCAGCGCTCAGAAAGGAAAATGACAACCTGAGCGTTTACAGAAAATTAAAAGAAAAACGCGATTTTGACACAAATAAGATTGAGCGACCTCCGAACAGACCTGAGACTAATAGAGAAAAGAAGATCAGCCAGTTACATAAAATGAGTCAGCTAGCTTTGAAGGACGCCTCAACACAAAGTAATGAGGTAAAACCGGCTGCATTGGGAAAAGATAATGCTAGATATAATATTTTAATTCAAGAAAAGATGCGTTTTTGTGAAAACATGACAGGGGAACTAAAGAAAACAGACGAGAAATTATTAAAGGTAGATGAAAAAATGGCTGCACTCAGGCACATCAGAAGGCTGCAGTAAAGTGAAGATGATTTGAAACAAGAAAGAGAAGAAGCTTTTGTGTTAAGATCTTTTAATCCAGAGACGAGAAGAATAATGAATTTATTTCCCAGGGAGGTACCGATCTCTCAACCAAAAGAGGCTGATGTAAAGAAAAAAGTTAGAGATCCAATGAGTTGGTTACGGGAATAAGAGGGTTAATCCCACAGTGGGGGTGTCATTTTTAAACACAGATGAGGGGAAAGTGTCGAAGGGGCATGCTAGCTCAGGCAAATAAACACGAGCTAAACTTTCTAGGGTCATGGGTCGGGTTGGGGTTGGGAGAGATAAGGCTGAAAGAGAGATGCTAGATCTTACCGTACTGACTTTGTCTCTGCGACACCAGGTTGGAGTAATAGACAACCCTCGCATCTCTGACTACAGAGTTAACGGATGTCAGAAGGTGGACGGGGAGACGTGTTTTCATACACAGGCTGCAAATGCTGTAATTGAGCCTGGGAGTTTATACTGCAGGAACTGATCTGGTTCTGAAAGGACAGATGTTGTCCAGAGTGGAGAGGCAATACTCGTTAACCTGAGAGGTTAATGATGATAAAAGATAAATGACCCGCTCTTTCTAACACCAGCTGAAAGCTCATTCACGCAAGAGTCTGCCTCTCAGGGGCCACGCCCACAGGGCCAGCCTTTCTGGATGTGGGTGGTGTGTCTCCCCATGAGCCTGGGACAACAGGTCCTTGCAAAGCGGCAGTTGCCATGGGGAACCTCACAGGAGTTGGGAGATTTCCACCAATCAAATTTTCCCCGGCCACCGTGGGATAGTTAGCATGGCTAGTTAGTTAGTTAGTTAGTTAGTTAGTTAGTTAGTTAGTTAGTCAGTCAGTTAGTCACTCAGTCAGTTAGTTAGTTAGTTAGTTAGTTAGTTAGTTAGTTAGTTAGTTAGTTAGTAATGTGGCTCAAAAAGCTGAGTGCACCCCCACAAATGTCATCAAAATGACTGACTCAGACAATATCAGCCTCAACCCAAGATGTAGTTAGCTAGTATCTCAGTTAGTTAGTTAGTTAGTTAGTTAGTTAGTTAGTTAGTTAGTTAGTAATGTGGCTCAAAAAGCTGAGTGCACCCCCACAAATGTCATCAAAATGACTGACTCAGACAATATCAGCCTCAACCCAAGATGTAGTTAGCTAGTATCTCAGTTAGTTAGTTAGTTAGTTAGTTAGTTAGTTACTTAGTTAGTTAGTTAGTTAGTTAGTTAGTTAGTTAGTTAGTCAGTCAGTCAGTCAGTCAGTCAGTCAGTCAGTCAGTCAGTCAGTTAGTTAGTTAGTTAGTTAGTTAGTTAGTTAGTTAGTTAGTTAGTTAGTTAGTTAGTTAGTTAGTAATGTGGCTCAAAAAGCTGAGTGCACCCCCACAAATGTCATCAAAATGACTGACTCAGACAATATCAGCCTCAACCCAAGATGTAGTTAGCTAGTATATCATTTAGTTAGTTAGTTAGTTAGTTAGTTAGTTAGTTAGTTAGTTAGTTAGTTAGTTAGTTAGTTAGTTAGTTAGTAATTTGACTCAAACAGCAGCATGCATCCCCACAAATGTTCCATCAAAATGGCCGGCTCAGCCAACATCAGCCTCAACCCAAGTTAGTGGGATGTGTATCTCCCCATGAGCCTGGGACAACAGGTCCCTGAGGAGCAGCAGTTGCCATGGGGAACCTCACAGGAGTTGGGAGATCTTCACCAACCAATGTTTCCCCGGCCACCGTGGTGCTATTAGGATCATGGACAGACCCTGCTCCCTCACCCTGGGTAAAGTGGGGGGTATGGGGGCCTCTGGAGGGAACGCATGAAGGAGAGACCTTGGCCATTTGTGCGCAAGAGCGTCCCCCCCACCCCCCCACCCCCCACCCCCCGTGGGGCGCCACGATCCTGCAGGGAGAATTTAAGTGGGCATCTGTTCCTCATGACCTGATGGGAATCAGCCTGTACAGACTTTCCCTCCTGATGCTTTCCAACAGCTGCTTTCCTTCATCACTTTAACAGTCAGTGAGTCACTATGATTTTCCTATATTTCACTCACATTTATGGTGGTGGCAATGTTTATGAAACTTCAGAACTGCTGTATTTGATTTCACTTTTGCATCAACAAGAGTTCAGCAGTACTAACAGCAGTCGTGTGAGCACGGGAATAACGTTTATCGTTTATCGGTTTATCGTGTGTGAAATATTCACCTGAAATGATAAAATATATACAGCTACTTACAGATAAATAATTAGGTGCATTTCCTGTGCCCTCAGTGACATTAGGCCCAAGGTGAGATTATTATTAGCATAGCGATTAGAAAATAGAGCCAAAGGAACTGTTTTAACATCAGCACGCCACACCAAGCACTACAGCTTTGTCTGCTGTCTGTACAAATTATTACATTTACCTATTTATTGAATCTGAATTATGACTTCAGTTCAAACCAATATAGGGTCTTGAAATGTATTTTCACTGAGTTACTTTTAGCTACTCAAAACACAAACCTAGAGTTATTAGGCTACTTAATAACAACGCTTCATGATTCTTTGAAATTCTTCTACACTTCTTGTCACGTTTAGGAGCAGGAGGTTAGGACCCAAGATGCAGACCCAGGATGACACGAGGCAGGAATGTTAAATAAAGAAGAATCCTTTATTTAGGATGACAAAATAAAAATCCAAAAGGGGCAGGAGGCAAAAAACCCAATAACAAAATGAAGCAGGGAAAAATCCAAAAGCTCACTTCATGAGCAGAGAACCAGAGACCAGGAGGGAGAGACAACAAACAACGCTGACATAAAACAACAATGGACCGACAAGAACAATGAGACAAGGAGGGCTTATTTAGACAGGGAGGAGCAATTAGGGAAACAGGAAGCAGGTGTATGGAGTGAGGCTGGAGGAAGGCAGGTGACAACAATTATCTGGATGGGGAAGAGAACCAGAGGAGGGCAGATAAACCTAACACTATATAAAACACAAAACTAAACCTAAAGACTAAGGGAAGGACTCACACAAACACATACACATACTGACACTCACAAACTCATACACATACAAGAGGCTGTGGCTACAACTTAAGACACACAACAGAGATGCAGACAAAGGACACATGAGGGCGCTAAGAGAACACAAAAGGAGAACCTGGAGTGGGAACTGGAGGAGCTGGGGAACAAAGGGACACAGAACATGACACTTCTATCTCTAATAACCTAGTGAATAACTTCCCTCAGTCCGTTTCTAATTATTCAATCAACTTGCAAAAGCAAAACTTCATGAAGTTATTTAATTTTTTATCTTATTGTTAAAAATCAAATGTTATTGTCCTAAAAATCTTGTCATCTTTCGACTGTAGCATTAAATATTCTTAATAACTAGAAATGTAACATCTATAAAGCATCAAATCAAATAAATCTGACAAATAAGGGAAAAATGTCTGTGTTTATGTCCCCATCTTCACAGATTTAACAATTAGTCTTAGATACATTCAATTGTGGTGAACTGTTTATTTGCGTTTTATACAAACAATTGTCTGACATGTAAAATAGTAACATTTAAAGTTTGGATGTAAGAGGTGAAAATAAAGATTTTAAAAGTTCCAAATCTCCCAGTTGCCCCTCCACCTTCTACAGGTAAAAATTACATCTAGTTATACATTTATAAGTTGGATTTGACTGAAGATTTGTGTTTTTTTTATCTGAGATTATTGTTTTTATACTTTTATTAACTGATTCAATTATGTCCTCCCACTAAAACTGACACAACCATTTCTTCAGGTCAAACACCTCCAGATCTTTTTCTGAAGACAGTAGGATAAAGACCAGTGCTGACCACTGAGCAGGAGACAGTATCTGTAGAGAGACGTCCTGAACTCAGAGACTGTTGGATCTCCTCCACCAGACAAAGATGATTCAGTTCATTCAGACAGTAGAGCAGGTTGATGCTTGTCTCCGCAGACAGACTCTCATTGAGCTTCTTGTTGATGTGATCAACTGTTTCCTGATTGGATCTGCTTCCTGTCTTCCCCAGCAGGTCTTTTAGGAGAGTCTGATTGGCCGGCCGGGACAGACCAAGGAGAAAGCGTCCAGGTGTCCATTTGGACTCTCAAAGGCCTTGTTCACAGCACTCTGATAGAGATCATTTAGATTTGGACCGCTGAAAAGTTTAGACCACAGAGAATGTTGCTGTTTGTCTTCCATTAGATTGACACCAGAGCTGATGAAGGTCATATCGACATGCAGAGCAGCCAGAAACTCCTGAACACTCAGGTGGATGAAGCAGAAGACCTTTACCTGGTACAGTCCTGTCTCTTCTACAAAGATCTGTGTGAACACTCCTGAGTACACTGAGGCTGCTCTGATATCGATGCCACACTGTCAGGTCTGATTCATAGAAGATCAGGTTTCCTTTCTGCAGCTGATCAAAAGCCAGTTTTCCCAGAGACTCAATCATCTTCCTGCTCTCTGGACTCCAGTGTGGATCTGCCTCAGCTCCTCCATCATACTTGACCTTCACTTTGGCCTGAACAACCAGGAAGTGAATGTACATCTGAGTCAGGGTCTTGGGCAGCTTTCCCCCATCTTTGTTTTTAAACACCTCCTCCAGAACTGTAGCAGTGATCCAGCAGAAGACTGGGATGTGACACATGATGTGAAGGCTTCGTGATGTCTTGATGTGGAGGATAATCCTGATGGCCTGCTCCGCATCTCTGAATCTCTTCCTGAAGTACTCCTCCTTCTGTGGGTCAGTGAACCCTCTGACCTCTGTTACAATGCCACCACACTCAGAGGGGATCTGATTGGCTGCTGCGGGTCTTGTGGTTATCCAGAGGCGAGCAGAAGGAAGCAGGTTCCCCCTGATGAGGTCTGTTAGTAGAACTTCCAATGAGGAGGACTCTGTGACATCAGTCAGGATCTTACTGTGGTGGAAGTCCAGAGGAAGTCGACACTCATCCAGACCATCTGAGATGAACACGACCTGGAACTCTTCAAAGCTCCTGTTATTTTTGGTTTCAGTGAAGAAGTGATGAACAAGTTCCACCAAACTAAACTTCTTTTCTTTTAGCACTTTCAGTTCTCTGAAGGAGAACGGAAACATGAAGTGGATGTTCTGGTAGGCGTTGTCTTCAGCCCGGTCCAGAGTAAACTTCTGAGTTAAGACCGTTTTGCCAATACTAGCCACTCCCTTTGAGATCACTGTTCTAACAAGTTCGTCTCTCCCAGGTGGGAGTTTGAAGAGGTCTCGTCTGATTGTCGTTTCTAGTTTTTTTAGTTTCCTGGACGCCACTTCAATCTCTCTGATCTCATGTTCATTGTTGACCTCTCCAGTCCCTCCCTCTGTGATGTAGAGCTCAGTGTAGATCTCATTCAGATGTGTTGGGTTTCCTGCTTTAGCAATCCCCTCAAACACACACTGGAACCTCTTCTTCAGGCCAGATTTAAGTTTACGTTGACTAAATGCAACACAACATAAAGTATGTCAGGGTGTATTTTATGTAAGTACACGGGAAACTTGATACTTCTGCAAATAACTTGTTTGATTAATCTTTGTACCTGTTTGCAGATGGTCAGCCAGCTGGTCCTGCTTCATTCTTTTGAGGAAGTGTTATGGGAAATTTTATGTTAATTAATTCTTGATCATGGACTCAATCAACTGAATGTAAATGTATTGTTCTATGTCTCTTTGCATCACACACACACACACACACACACACACACACACACACACACACACACACACACACACACACACACACACACACACACACACACACACACAATCTCTCTCTCTCTCTCTCTCTTTTATCTCTTGGTATAAATAAACTCTGTGACCTGTTGTTTGGGGCATTTTGCCACAGTTATAACTGTTTGACGTGTCTGCTCATTGTCTCCTTCTCTCTTCACTATAGGAAATGGGTTATTGATAAACATATTGATAAAATCCATGACATTTTTTGGTCATTCAAAAGCCATAGTAAATCATCTTTACTTCCAGGTTTCCCCCTTTACCATTACCTAAAACTAAAAAACTCAAATGAAGAGAACAGTCATTGTCCAGATGGTCTAATCTATTTTTACTTTCTTTATGAAGCTACATGGCAGCCATGACACCTAATAAAAACATGATTTCTCATGTACTTTACTGGTCTTTGTAAAACGTCATTCTCCTATAAAATGAAAACAATTGTAAAACATGAGTTTTTTAAGTATAAACAATTTAAAAAATCATGATTTATATGATTATTTTGGGATTTATCATTACTTTTTGTTGATCTTTACAATTAGTCGACTGTATTGTATGTTTCTGAGTTTGTCAGGTGTGTGTGTGTGTGTGTGTGTGTGTGTGTGTGTGTGTGTGTGTGTGTGTGTGTGTGTGTGTGTGTGTGTGTGTGTGTGTGTGAATATAGTGAATGTCACCCATAAACTGAATCTTAAAGCTGCTTTCCAACAGAGGAGGAACTCACCTCCACACTTGACTCATTGATTCTGTCAGCATGTTTATCGAAGCCTCAATAAAAGCTAATTATTCCATTTTTCTTTTTCAAAATTTTCCAGCCAAAAAGGAACCGTATCTATCCTGGATGACATCGGCAGCATGTTTGACGACTTGGCAGACCAACTGGATGCAATGCTCGACTGATCTCCAGCCCCCCTCCCCCTGACCCATCCCTCATGACATGTAGGTGTGTGAGAAGACGGCGCTCCCAAGACTAAATGCTGGCGCTTTGGGGAGCTCGTGTTTGAGCGTCTGGCCCTCCCATGTTAAGTGCTTCCTGAGTAGCCTTGAAGAGGGAGTCCTCTTTATCTGGTGCAGTAGCTCTGGCTCCTTCTCCTGATGCGA